CTTCCTTCCTTCCTTCCTTCCTTCCTTCCTTCCTTCCTTCCTCTCTTCATTTACCCCCACCCCAAGCCTGAATTTAGACAGGATCTGGCATGTGTTTTTAATGATGTGGGGTTGAGCAGTCAATGAGATTTTAATTAGCTCCAAGTTCCCCCCACCTCCCAGCCCTCCCCTCTCCCCTCCCCAGTAGGGAGGACCAGGAGCCTCCAGGTGGCAGGGGGTGGGTTCAAGCTGGCTCCGAGAGAGGCAGGCCTGGGCAGCTGTGGAGCTGTCTGTGTAGGAGGCTAGGAGACAAGCGAGATGAGCAGAAAAGGAAAAGTTGTGTGTCGCCAGGCCACAGCTTTTTCTCTCCATCCTCTCTGTCTCTTCCCCCCATGTCTCTGTTCTTCCCCCCCCCACCCCATGGCTTTGAGATGAAGGCAATAGCAAGGATAGAGGATGCAGTTTCCATAGCAACGGGGCTGTCCACAGCCAGGCAACTTCAGAGCCGGGCTCTCTGGAGGAGGCAGATGCACAGAGAAGCCACGGAGCTGCCTCCTGCCTGCCAACGAGGGGGCTGGCAGAGCAGGTGGCACAGGGTGGCTTCTTGATACTGCCCACCCTGATGCCCAGGGTGGAAAGATCACTGTTCACTTCCCCCCCCCCGTTCCTGCCAGTGTTTCCTCCAGAAGAAGAGTTAGGGAGATGACCAGAGTTGTCGGCGAGGGGCTGTTGGAGGGGCTTAGAGTTCTCGTCATTCCTGAAATCTCCAGGTAGATATAGGGTTTAATTTCTGGGAACATCCCCTCTGCCCTCCCAGCTTTCTTTACTTCTCCCCCACTCCCTACCATCTCTGATGACCCAGACAGCAACCAGATTGACACAGAAGATTAGACTCAGAAGTGGCGCTGTGGCCCAAGTGGTAGAGCGCTCGCCTTGAGCTGAAGAGCTGAGGGGCAGCGCCCAGGCCCAGAGTCCAAGCCCCTTCACCCACACACCCACACCCAAAACAAGATTTGGTCTTAAAGTCTATTTTGAGCCAGGCACCAGTGGCTCACGCCTGTCATACTTGCTACTCAGGAGGCTGAGATCTGAGGATCATGGTTCAAAGCCAGCCCCAGGCAGGAAAGTCCATGAGACTCTGATCTCCAAATGAACGCACCAGAAAACCGGAAGTGGCGCTGTGGCTCAAGTGGTAGAGCACTCACCTTGAACTGAAGAGCTGAGGGACAGCGCCCAGGCCCCAGAGTTCAAGCCTCATGACCGACAAAACCCCCCCCCCAAAAAAAAACCCACAAAAAAATTAATAGACTCAATCTAAAAATGGCTTCATTTCACTGACCTAGCAAGCTAAGGTGTTGTCCTCACCATTGGGAAGGAAGCTCAGGATCAGAGGCTTTGCCCGGGTCACCTGTGGAGTTTGTGGCTGATCTCACAGCTGATGGGGCCCAGGCCACTCACCCCCAGGGTGGCCCCCCTGGATGCTCCCTTCCTCCCGCGGGCAGGAGGGTCTGGCTGGATCTTTCTGGCAGCCTTCCTCCTCCATCCTCCCCCCCCCTTGCCACCCTCCCCAATTTGTTGTCAACCGTTGGATGGGTCAGGCAAGCAGACAAGTGGAGTCCTGGAGTGGCCTCTCCCCGCCAGGCGATAAGTCTCTCATTACTGTTAAGTGGAAGGCTCATTGCAGAGTTCGTGGTGAGAGCCAATGGGTGCTATAAATAGCCAGTTGTGAAGGTTGGCGGGCGAGCGGTGACAGGGCAGGGGCCTCGCAGTTGTCTTGGTGGGTAATTGTGCTCTATCACAGGAAAGGGGGAGGGGGAGGCAGAAATGAGAGACACTTGACCCCCCCCTTCCCCTCCTCAGGGCAGCTCTGGAATGTGTCACATACTCAGAGAGAGAGAAGAAGGGGGGGGCGTGCATGGTATGCCTCGCACAGCTTAAGGCCTTAGAAGCTGATACTTTAGCCCTCTGGGTCATAGCCAGTGCTAGACCTGCATGTCTTGCCTGCTCATTCTGCTCAGGCTCTGCCTCCTCTTCTTCAGCTAAAACTCTGGGCACGGCTACCAGGAAGGCGCATTGGAGAGTCTCAAAGACAGACCTAAATGGAGCAAGGGGAAAAAGAGTAGAAGTGGGGCAGGGTGCCAGTGGCTCACGCCTGTCATCCTAGCTATTCAGGAGGCTGAGATCTGAGGATCACGGTTCAAAGCCATCCTGGGGTAGGAAAAGCCATGAGATTCTTTTTTTTTTTTTGGTCGGTCGTGGGGCTTGAACTCTGGGCCTGGGCGCTGTCCCTCAGCTCTTCAGCTCAAGGCGAGCGCTCTACCATTTGAGCTACAGCGCCACTTCCGGTTTTCTGGTGATTTATTGGAGATAGGAGTCTCACAGTCTTTCCTGCCCGGGCTGGCTTTGAACCGAGATCCTCAGATCTCAGCCTCCTGAGTAGCTAGGATGACAGGCGTGAGCCACCAGCGCCCGGCAGCCATGAGATTCTTATCTCCAGTAAACCACTCAGAAAACCAGATGTGGTGCTGTGGCTCAAGTGGTAGAACGCTCACCTTGAGCTGAAGAGTGCAGGGACAGTGCCCAGGCCCAGAGTTCAAGCCCCACGACCGACAAAATAAAAAAGAGTGGAAGTGGGGACTGTGGGCAGGGACAGTGCCTAGGGTCAGGGACACTGACTTCGCCTAATACCACTGTATAGGTCAGCATTGTCCCAGAGAAAGAGGATATCCGGGCCAGAGAGTTGTGGGATGGGAAGTCTGACAACCCAGCCATTGTGTCAGCTCTGGATAGTTGGGGTGTCATGGTTCTGAAACCAGCGTTTTGGTCTCAGACATCCATGTCTGAGAATCAACCCTGGTGTGTGGTCTGAGGCCTCCAGAGTCTTAGGATCACCTCAACTTGACATTTGGGGGGGTCCTACTCAGAGGTACTTTTCATCTCTCTCTCCATAGGGGTTTGAACGTTGAGAGAGTACAAGGTGGGGAACACAGCCAACCCCACCGGAAGGAGTGAGCGGCGAACCATCTCCCGAGGCTGTGGGAACAAGTTGGCGAGGAGCCCTAATTTAGGCTTATTTCCATTCCCCTTGCCACTCTGCCTTAGGAGCGGAAGCTGTGTGCCCATCCTCGGCTGGAGATTTACCAGCAAGACCAGATCCATTTCGTGTGCCCATTGGCACGGCAGGGAGATTTCTATGTGCCTGAAGTGAAGGAGACAGAGCGGAAATGCAGAGGACTTGGGGAGAGCTGTGATCCCCAGACGGACGGCACAGGTACGGAAAGAAGGGGGGGCCGAGGATGGGGTCCGGCCTGGAGCCCCTCTCCTGGCAACCAGGACATTGAAGGGGCTCCTCTGTCTGGGCCAGCCCCTTATGGTGTCAGCCTGGGTGCTCGTGGACCCTCCCAGAATTCCTCCCTCCCCCAAACCAGAGCAAGGTCATGCACCTGCTAGCAGCCATAATGACCCAGGGCCAGGCCAGCAGGCTGCTTGCTCAACTCCAAGGCCACCCCCACCCCTGCTACAACTTCTTCTGATCCCAGGCTATCCCAAAGGACCCAATTGTAGACTGTCTTGGTGTGACGCTGAACTCCGCAACTTCTACCACAGGGCTGTAAGGAGAGGAACAATCCCTCTTCCCTTCTCCCCCCCCCCCCCCAGTCATGGGGCTTGAACTCTGGGCCTGGGCTCTTCAGCTCAAGGCGAGCGCTCTACCACTTGAGCCACAGCGCCACTTCCGGTTTTCTGGTGGTTCACTGGAGTTAAGGGTCTTACGGACATCACTGCCTGGGGTTGGTTTTGAACCTTGATCCTCAGAGCTCAGCCTCCTGAGTAGCTCGGATGACAAGCGCGAGCCACCACGGGCTCCCAGCCCCCTTCCCTTCTTGCGCACACTGCCCACTCCAGCCTTGAATAGCCAAGGTCACCCTTGAGAGCCGAGTGTTTGGCGGGGGCTGATGGGGAGCAGGCTACTGGGAGGCAGTCATCATTCCCTAGGGGCTCGTGTCCAACACAGTTAACTTCATCTGCCACTTAATTACCTCCATGGGGTACTGCTCCCTTCTGCCTTGTGGTGCCCAGCAGAAACTCTTCATGCCCCTACTGGGGGGCACGGGACATGGCACAAGGTCAGCAAGCCCAAGCAGTCCCCCCCGCCCCCCCCCCGGCAGGAAGGAGGAGCACCTTGGCCTTCCTGCGACCTCCCACTTGCGCCCTCAGTGGCCCAGCCCCTCCCACCCGGCTCCCTTGGCTCTCAAACACTGCCTGCCAATGGTGGTAAAAAAGACTCCTTGGCACCCGCTGCAGCTGGCTGCAGCCGCAGCTCTCCCAACCCTCCCTCCGCTCCCCGGCCTGTCCTCCCCCCTGCCTGCTCCCCAATGTGGGGGCACAGGGGGCCTGCCCACCTCCGACAGGACTTGGCCCCGACACCCCAGGGCGGACTCTGCACCCAGCTGCCAGGTGCAGTGCCAACTTACACAGCAGGGCCCTAGCGGGTGCCCGGCCACCCCAAGCCATGGCTTGTCCCCGCCTGCCTCCCTGCCGGCGCCCCGGCTTGGGCTGAGAGGTGAAAGGGGGTGATTAGCTGCCTTCTGCCTGTTATTACATTGATGTATTATTTAGCTCTGGAGAAGCGATGCATATTTGATCCTGCATTGGCTGTGGGCAGGAAGAGGAGGAGGAGGGAGGTGGTGGTGGTGAGGTTCCTTCACATCCCCTGCCCCGTGGCGGCAGCCCTGGGGATTCAGGTGCCGCCCTGGGTTTTGCCCCACCTCTTCTCCCCAGGGACCCCGGGAGACCCTCCTCCCGTGGAGATCTTGGGAAGGACAGTTAGGGACGTCATTTTCAGGGGCACACTGAGGCCTGGGCTGCACCCCTGGACTCAGTCTTCTGAGCAGTCCTCGCCTATCAGGGAGAAAAGAGGAGTCAGGCTGTTAGGAAACAGGTAGCTTCCAGTCTGGAGAGAGCCAGTGAATAGAAAACCAAACCGCAGTGTGTATCTAACTGCTCTGCAGCCTCTGGAGACACTGGTCACCACTTTTAAGAGTAAGGGACTGGAGCTGGGCAGGTGGCTCAGTGGTAGAGAGTTTACGTAGCATGCATGAAGCCCTGGGTTCGATTCTTCAGTACCACATGCACAGAAAAAAGCCAGAAGTGGCACTGTGGCTAAAGTGATAGAGCACTAGCCTTGAGCCAAAGAAGCTCAGAAGCCAGGTGCTGGTGGCTTAGACCTGTCATCCTAGCTACTCAAGAGGCTGAGATCTGAGAATCGCTGTTCAAAGCCAGCCCAGGCAGGGAAGTCTGTGAGACTCTTTATCTCCAATGAACCACCAGAAAACTGGAAGTGGTGCTGTGGCTCAAGTGGTGGAGTGCTCACCTGGAGCTGAAGAGCTGAGGGACAGCGCCCAGGCCCAGAGTTCAAGCCCCACAACCGACATCCCCCCAAAAAGAAGCAGCTCAGAGACAGTAGCCAGGCCCTGAGATCAAGCCCCAGGGCTAGGGGAAAAAAAGAGTAAGGAACTAGAGCTCTATTCCACTGTCAGCAAGAAACATCTACAAAGCCCGGGGGAGCCCTCCCAGGGACCCAAAGCAAGAGGAGGACTCCCCAGACCAGCAGTCTGGCCTTCCCCGGGGCTCACTCCACCTCTGCCAGTAAAGACCTCAGTGGGCATCTTTTTTGTTTTTTTGTTGGTCATGGGGCTTGAACTCTGGGCCTGGGCGCTGTCCCTCAGCTCTTCAGCTCAAGACGAGCGCTCTACCACTTGAGCCACAGCGCCACTTCTGGTTTTCTGGTGGTTCATTGGACATAAGAGTCTCACAGACTTTCCTGCCCAAGCTGGCTTTGAACTGTGATCCTCAGCTCTCAGCTTCCCGAGTAGCTAGGATGACAGGCGTGAGCCACCGGCACCTGGCTCTCAGTGGGCATCTTCTGGGGGGCATAGTAGATTGAGGGAGAAGACCCCAAATCCTTCTACACTCATCACCCCAGACACCCGCTGAGGCTCAGGGACAGCTCCAGGCTCGCCCAAAGGCCAAGCAGCTCCCAGCTGCCCCTGGCTCAGAGTTCTATCACCATGGAGACAGAGCTGGGGAAAGCCCACCCCTCACCTGCCATGATGTTCAACAGCTGTTTCCCTTCACCTTAAACTAGAAAGGTGACATGTCAGGGCCAGAGATCTTTGCCTTCTCCACTCTACCTCCCACCTGTGCTAACTGCCCCTGATCTGAGATGGAACTGGACAGATGCAGGGTCCCTTGCTTGGAGGGTGGCCTGGGCCTGGGCATGGCAGGTTACCCACCACCACCAACAAGAAGTGGCCAGGGGCTGGGGTCAGCTGACTTCCTGGATACAGCTGTTCCCTAGGGAGGCCTTTCTGTTGGAGGGGGCGGGAGGAGGAAGAGCAGGGGGTGTGGGGGGGTGATGCTTGAGAGTGGGCTTCCTGGCCCATTCTTCATTCCTCATGCCTCATGGGTAATGTTCTGTCATTTGGACCAACCTTTCTCCGAGCCTGAAGTGAAAGATTGTGTGTGTGTGTGTTGGGGGGTGGGGGGACGCTGAAGCTCCACTTGTATTTCTTTGTTCCACCCTAGCTCTTCACCCTAAGGCTTGGTGGCCCTTAATGGATGTGGGGGTGGGGGCCAGCTTTGTGGGAGCGCAGGGAGCTGCGGCTAATTCAGGGGAGGGAGAGGAGTACATAGCCAGCTGCGCCCTCTCCCACTCTGCCCCCCCCGCCCCCTCTCTCAGCCCGGTCAGGACAGAGGGCAGAGAGCAGACAGCACGGGTCTCCTGAGCCCCAGGATGGCTGTATTATTTATGAACCCCTGGCCCCACCCCCCCTGCCCCCAACCAGGGGAGGAGGTGTGTGTGTTGGGGAGGGGGGTCATGGTGGTGGTCATGCTAACCCCTGCTCCCTTGTCCTGGCCACAGAAGCCGACGTAATGAGTGATTCAAGTTCTCTAAGCCTGGAGGCCAGCCCTGGCAGCCGGGAGACCTCCGCCACAACCCTGTCTCCCGGGGTGAGCAGCAGCCGAGGCTGGGAAGACGGCGATAACCGGAGTGAACACAGTTACAGCGAATCAGGGGCCAGTGGCTCATCCTTTGAAGAGCTGGACCTGGAGGGTGAGGGGCCCTTCCTCGGGGAACCGCGGCCGAGCCCCGAGGCCAAGCCTCTGGGGGCCACTCGCCAGCCCAGCACCTCTGAGAAGGGTGAGGAATAATACAGGTGCTTGAGCCCTCTTCCCCCCGCCCCCCACCCCCGATCCTGGCGGAGGGCACCCCAGGGGACCTGACTTTGCCCACCCCAGGCCTCTGGTCAAAGCTCTTCACTGCCCTTTTGGCTCCCATGGCCAAAGGAGACTGTTAATCCTCAGCCAGCCCGGCTGCAGGCTGCCACCCATAGTGTCTTTTTGTTTTTTTCAGACTCATATCGGAGCTTCCACAACCCAGAATAAAGCAAATGATTTCCTTGTTTCACCTTGGAGTTCCAACTGTGCCTTTGTTTCTTTCTCCCTTGGGTGGGTGGGTGGGGGGAGCCCTGTGCATATCAGCTGGAAATGGTCAGGACCCCCCCCCCACACACACACTGCCCATCCCCAGCACAAGTGAGGGAGAAGAACATGGAAGACCGTTCGTGCCCTGTGCTGTGACCCCCACTGGACAGCCCCCCCCACCGCCTCAGGACACCCCAAGCTACTGGAGAACACAGCAAGGAGCACTCACCAGGACTCAGGAGGGACACTCGGCAGCCTGCCATTGTCTACTTCCAAGGGGTGCCTTTGTGTCTAGGCCTCCAGGGTGCCTAGCTCACACTGGGACCTCCCCAGCAGGAAAAGATACACCTGCTGGGCCTGGGTGTGCGCATGCGCAGCACCAAGGACAGCACTGATGGTGGCGGTCCTAGAGGCCGAGCCAAGCGAGCATCAGGACGTGATTGTGGCTATAGGTGAATGGCTTCCTGCACGGTGTGGTGTGTGTGACTTAATGGTATCTCATGGCCTTGTGGGGATATGTGAGGCTGGCTTGGTGCAGAGGCAGAAGCATCTTCATATACAGTTACCCACCTGTGATAGGGTGCCTGTGTGTAGCTGCCTGTGGTTGTGTGTCCATGCTACACTCGGTTTTACTGTGTGCCAGTGTAGAAAGCCATGGATCACGGGCTGGGAAGGTGGCTCCGTGGTGGAGTGCTTGCCTTGCATGCACGAGGCCCTGGGTTCAATTCCCCAGCACCACATAAGCAGAAAAAGCCAGAAGTGGCGCTGTGGCTCAAGGGGTAGAGCGCTGGCCTTGAGCTGAAGAGCTGAGGGACAGTGCCCAGACCCACAACCAATCAGAAAAAGAACAGGCATGGATCTCTGCAGCTGTGATCACATGTATGGGAAGGCCTGTCTGGCCATACCCAAAGGTATGTGCTACTGTGGGTGTGTGGCCACGTCTTGAGCCACGGTTTATATGCGAGGGCATCCCGTGGACTTCCGGTCTTCTCCCTGCGTACCGTTACATATTAAGACTACCTCTGCCTGTGCAGCCATATGCGTGACTGTGTTCTTGCATACAGGCCTGCAGGTAAGACTGTCAGTGTGTCTGACAGTCGGGCATCCATACAGCTGCTGAGGAGCAAGTTGCTCACTGTCAGCCCACGTGACGGGTTTCTTATGCTGCTACGGTGCGTGTAGCAAGCCCTAGGCCTTGGCCAGTGGGTTGAACGTGTGGCTGGCATCTTCGTACCAGCTTCTCTTAACCTTAGCATCCTCCTGCTGCCCAACCCCTCTGCCCTAGGAGCCCGGCTCATCACTCACCTACCCCAGGGAGCAGTCACTCTGAGCCAGCCAGGGTGTGAGAGCAGCCGGCGGAGCTGGAAGACAGCGTGTGTCTGTCTTCCCAGCCTCTTGTCTGGCAGCTCGGAACCCTCATCCTGTTGCCGCCTTGCCTCCCATTAGGGATCAGCTCTGTTTGTTTGGGTTTGATGTGTCTGTTTGGGTCCAAAGCTCTGTTCTTTCCACAGCAGTAGGACGTTGAGTTTCAATGTCCAGCCAGGACATTGTCCTTGTGATTTCCCCCCACCCATTGTACACACACACACACACAGGATGGGGGCGGGGGGAGCTGAGCCCCAGGGATCAGGGCTGTGTATATATATCATCAGTAGGATGCAAGCTGACATTGCTCCCACCGCCACCTGTGGCAGAAAGGACAACAGGATCTGGGCACAGGGCTCCGCTCCAGATAGGACAGGAACAGCCTGGCACTTGCTAGGGTGTGGCACCCCCCCCTTACCCAGGGGCGTCCCTCCCCATGGTGCTATGGGAGGAAAGAGTCCAGAGCATCCTCTCTCGGAGCTGTCCTCTCTGTTTGGGCTCGGGCTCTGGCTTCCTCCTACACAGCCAGTTCCAGGAGCCTTTCCTTACCCCCTCCCCTTTTATTTCTCTTCCTCTCTCCCACCATCATGGGACCCCCCAGTCCCTAGCTCTCAAATACTACCACCACCACCACAGGTTGGTATCTCTGCCATCTCTGCCTGTACATAGCCAGGGATCCATGGGGAACAGGGTAGCCGCCATAAAGGTCATCTCTAGGAAGGATGAGGAAGCCCCCTTCCTCTGATCCCCCCTCATCCCTCCCCCCCCCCCGGCACCTACCACCCAATCTTTTCCACATAGTGACTCAGGACTTAATACCTCACACACACACACACACACACACACACACACACACACACACAGGGGGCCTGGGATGTGGACGGAGCAGCTTCAGTCACTGGATGGGTAGAACAGATGTGACAGACAGACTTATGTCAACAGGTCGAGATGGTTACCTACGCCCCTCCCCACCCCACCTCTACCCTGTGTACCCCTTCCCCGCCCCTCCCTAATCCCACCCCATCCCCAAGGTGGCTGCCTCCTCTTTTCCACTCCAGGAGATGAGGACCACCCCCGCCCCTGCTCACCTCTGTAGACTCAGTGGCCCTTTTTGCTTATCCTATAGTGCACCACCCCCCCTACTCCCCCACCCTCCCCCCCACACCCTGCTCCTGCCTGCCTGGAGGGTGGGCAGGCTGCGGGACACCTGCTGTAGTGCCCGGCTGGATTCAGCACCACGCGGCCGGCGGACAGCTCCCGGGGAGGGGAGGGGGGTGTGTGGAGGCCCCCAGGGTTAGGTTCAAGAGCTGGGGATGAGATGTGAGGGGCTGGGAGGTGGAGGATGGATGTTTTGGGGAGACCCAGAGTAAGGAGAGCCCTGGAGGTGGGGTTGGGGGCGGGCCCCGGGGAAGGGAGGGGGGTTGGTGGTGGTGGTGGTGGTGGTGGTGGTGGGCGGGGCAGGCTGGGATTGAAAGCAGCTGGGCGGGCTGCACGGAGAGCACAGAACCCTGCGTGCACCGAGAGCCGGGCAGCCAGGGAACCGGAGCCCCGTGCACCGCCTCCCCGCACCAGAAGAGCCAGCGAGCTGGGCGCGCCAGGTAGGGTGAGCCGGTGATGCTTCATTCCCACCATCGCCCGGGCCCTCTGCCTACCTTGTCTGACCCCCTTACCCCACGTCCCCCTCCACATCCTGCAGAGAGGGGGGGGGGGAGGCCAGGGGAGAGTACCTGAGCCCGGGAACATCCAGAAGAATAGTCTCCAGGGGGGAGAGATGCTCATCCTGTCTTGCTCCCCCCCTCTCCTCTTCCCCCCTCTCCCCAGGTCCTCCTGCTCCTCCAACATCCTCGGGTCCTTCTGTCTGTGCGTCTGTCTTTGTCTCAGCCTCTCCAGCTGGCTGGTCCCCCTGCCCAGATCTTTATTTATTTAGTTAGTTTAAAATCCCTTAAGCCATCAAACCCCACCTTGGGCTGCCCAGCCTCCTTCCCCCTGGGTCTCTGGTTCTATCTAGGCCTTCCCTGGCTGAAACCCTCACCTGAGTCCCTTGCCTCTCTCCTGTTTGCCCGGTTAAGCCGAAATATTTCTTTCGGGGTTCCCTCCCCCCCACCTCCAACACACACAGAATCTCAGTCTCCTTGTCTTGTCACCAGTGAGGATCTCCTGTCTTCAGTGGCCAAGACCTGGGAAAGGAAGGGAGCGGTGGGTCTTTCAACTAGTTGCTGTCCTCTTCAGCCTCAATTTCCTCTTCTACTCTGAGGACACACGTCTATCCCTCTCCCAGCCTTCCTAAGCCTGCATGAACCCAAAAGCCTGTGTGGGGTGGGTATTTGCAGTGGCACCTGGGGTGGTAGAGACTAGAATGCAAAGTGGAAGAGGAAGGGAGGAGGTCTCTAAGGGTTCGGTCTGGAGGCTGAGGTTGAAGAGGCTTGGAAATGCTGACTTTTCTCTGCAAAGTCGCAAACATCATCCTACTTAGAGGTAGAGGTTCCAGAATTCACCTCAGCACTGTTGGCCGATTCTAACCCAACCAAATATTCCCACCACCCACCTACCCGGGGTGCACACACACCTTCCTATCTATTGTCACTGCTGTGTTAGAACCTGTGGTTACTTAGCTACCCCCCCCTTTTTTTTTATTTGCCAGTCCTGGGGTTTGAACTCAGAGCCTGGGCGCTGTCCCTGAGATTCTTTGGCTCAAGGCTAACACTCTATCACTTAAGCCACAGCGCCACTTCCGGCTTTTTTTCTGTGTAGGTGGTACTGAGGAATCGAACTCAGGGCTTCATGCATGCTAGGTGAGCACGCTAACCACTGAGCCACCTTCCCAGCCCTTACGACCCTTTTCTGGAGTCCACCTCTTTCCAGATCTTAGAATCTCCATTCCTTTTGCAGTCAGGAAACTCTGGTTCTTTTACAGACCAGAGGCTGGCACTGTTGAGTGTCCACCCGAGCTCCAATCTTCCTAGAGTTAGAAACAGTCCTTGGGAGACTCCTCCTCCTCCTTTTTCCCTGGCAGGTCTCCCAAGCATCAGTGCTTACCTTTTCCACTTCCCTAGATCCTTAAGTTTGTAACGCTTGACATCGGACCTCCAGCTCATTGGAGGCTTGTGGAAGAATCCTGGGCAGACTTGGGTTTCCTTTGGCATCCACTGGGATTCCCTGGCCTCTAAATCTGTCTTAGGCCTCCACTTCCTACTTTTCTTCACCCCTCTGCTGAGTTTGGACGCACCATGAGCTCAGATCAGGGCAGGGCTGAGAGGCAGGTTCAAAAGGGGATGATCTAGGAAGTTCTGAGCCTGTCTAGTGACACCATCGTCTGCCAAGTTCCTGACTACCTGTGGGGAGGGGCAGATCACAACAGGAAGCTGGAAAGAAAAGCCACTCGGGTCTCAGATTCCACTTTTGTCCGTCTGTCTGTCTGTCTGTCTCTCTTTCTGCAGGAGCTGAGTCCTTTCTCATCTCTCTTCTTGTCTGTCCTTTGCCCAGCTCTTGTTCCCTCTTCTCTCTGCCTTTGCTGCTTCTTTCTGCCTGCCTATCCATCCCCTGAAGACCCAGGTCTCCTTTGTGGGGAGAGAGGCCATGGGCTCGCTGCTCGGGCTCCTGGCCCTG